TTTTAGTGTTTAAAGTCACCTCTGCTTATGCAATATAAATAAAGTAGAGAATTGTTACTTAGTCAAGTTGTGATGTAAGTACGAAGTGACTTGACAGGGCGAAGTAGCGTGCTTAGGTATAATTTAGGTTGAAACGCTTGGCACTTTAATTAGAGAGGCGTTTCTCTGTTTTTATTTTGTTTGAGCTAAGCCCTCAGGAAACAGTACGCCAAGTTGAGTAAAATGAAATTAAGCTTCTACGTCGTTTACCTTGTAAAGTTGAGCTAAGTTTAGAATAAGTATTTTTGGTTGTTAAATTTTAAACAAGAATTTTTTTAACCGTAATGTTAACCTAGCCGTAATAGATTTAATTCGCTTCAACAAAGTGCATTCGCTACAAAGCGATTCCATAACTTTCTATGAGTCACGTGATTGTCCCGCGACTTCCATACTATTTCAAGTTCGCTATAGTATCGCTTCGAAGCGACATTGCAACAAAATCTAATAGAAAATTAACTTCAAAAAATGGAACTTAAAAAAACAATACAAAAGTCAACGACAAACCTAAAGTTGGATATACGCCAGTTGTAACTCTGAAATGAGATTGAAATTCCCTTGAAGTTAAACTCCAAAATAGATTTCGTACCGATACAAGACGATAGATGTATAATAGAAACGAGCATTTGTAAAATACCTCATATTATCAAGTTTTATTTTGAAAATTGTGATAATAATTAATAACATAATTACCGTAGTAAAAGTAACAAAGTCACAAAACACAAAAAAGATTTTACAATAAAGTACATGCATATCACACACACGTACAAAAAGGCTCAAACATATCTATGCATGCTAAAGACCTAATTTAAGTCCGCTTTTCCTTACTACCTTTTTCCTATAAGGAAAGGAAGGAGATATATCTTTTTTCTTTGCGTCCCCTCCTCCGCTGATTAAAGGTATGCAACTGCTATTGCGGATGTATAAGGACAGATGTCACATCGCTATTTCGATGGTTTTTAAGCATGCTTAGTTTTTTTTTTATATAAGAGAAGGGGCAAACGAGCGGCGGGAACACCGAGGTGATCAACGACACCCATGGACATCTGCCACATCAGAGGAACCGCAGATGCGTTGCCGGCCTTTAAGGTAATGGTATGCTCGCTTCTTGAAGGACCCTAAGTCGTATTGGTTTGGAAATACCGCCGAGGATAGACCATTCCACAACGCGGCTGTGCAAGGCAAGTTGCGCGAGAATCGCACCGTTGTGGAATGCCAGCCATCCAGGTGGTGTGGATGGAATATGGCGGTCTGTCGTATCGTCCGATGACGGAACTCGGCGGCTGGAATCGTTTCAAACAGTTCTTCAGAACACTCCCCATGGTAAATACGGTAAAAAATGCAGAGGGAACTGATGTCCCTCCGCAAGACCAGGGAATCAAGCCGATCGGTAAGTGCTCGGTCGTTGACGAATCGAGTCGCTCCATAATTAGGAAGTAGTAATGAATGTTTTAGTTAACTAAGTCGCTTCTCTGTTACATAGTTAGCAGAAATCCTTCGACTCCGGTAACACAAACGTTCCTTGGTCCGAATTTGAATTGCAAAATACATTTAGCACTTTCACAACGTACAAAATCGTATGAAAATGTTTAATGGATTAAATCGAAACGGCACGAAACTTTATAACAACTGAAGTTTGATTTAATTCCAAGATTTAATGTGATTTAAGTTGTAACAAGTTAATTCATGATATCTACACTAACTAGTATTCATTGGTTAAATTAGAACATAGTTTTTTTATCTACTATGTTATTATGTAAACTATTTTACAATGTACGTCATCATCAACTTGCCTTTATCACTACGAAGGGTTGGCACAGTATGTACTCCTCCATACACCTCTATCAGCCGTCATATCTGAATCCATCAGATTCTTACGCATATCCTCTTTCACACAATCCATCCACTTTCTTTGGTTTTCCTCTACCTATGTATTCTATAAGATTGCTGTACAGTTGTTAATAAAAAAATATCAAATAAGTGCATAATCAAAGAATTGTTTTTTTTATTAAAATAGTTTTTGGTAGTTCTTTTCCATAGTAATTTAAGTGACTTTCTCGTTTGTGTAATTTCCTTAAATACGAGTACAAAGCTTTTCTTTTCTCGTATTGATATAATAATTATATGTTTAACATTAATGTCCGAATATACGAAGCCGGGATAGGCCGCTAGACTAATACTCGTACGCATAGAAACGAGGTTATTATTACAAGGTCGATACTACAATCAAGAATAAAGGAATTTACAAATTTGGCTGAATTCCATCTTAGTACGATCCGTGCATGGATATTTATGTTGTAACATTTATTACTTGTATTGCGCTTAGCAGAAACTGAGGCGCCGACTCCTATAGTTTCTAAAGTAATGTAAGAAATTTGTAAAAGTCTACGAATTTGTTTTATTAATAATAGACTTCGTTCAAGATAAGATTCAACATTAGGATCTATGCACATGTCGCAAGTTTTATGTGTGTTTTAAATGTCTATATTAGAGGAAGTTTGAAAGTAGCGCCAGTGATCGAGAAAGTGAGGAGTAAAAGATTAGCATGGTTTGGACATGTTATGAGGAGGGATGATGATGATATAAGCAAAAATGTAATGAGACTGAATGTGGATGGCTACAAGGGTAGAGGAAGACCAATAAAAGTATGGAATGACTGTGTGAAAGAGAATATGCGTAAGAAGGGGGTAGACTCGGATATGACGGCTGATAGAGATGTATAGAGAAGTAGTACATACTGTGCCGACCCTCGATAGGGATAAGGGCAGGTTGATGTTGATGATGATGCACTTGTCGCAAGTTTTACGCTATATATAATTACTTTTAGACATTGTTAGAATCCTTTGGCGCCAATCGATAGAGAGAACGAATTTATTTTTTTACTCTACGCGGAAAAGTTCTATTTTATTAAATAAACCAGACGACATTTTACACTATTCAGTATGCAAACTAAATATAAAACGTGACCGATAGGTAAACGCGGGTGTTAGTTAAAAAAAAAAGATTGTGCAAATTTTAAACAAACATGTAGAGCTTTAAAAATATATTCCCTTGTCAATAAATTCAACAAATCCTGAACGTGAGCAATAAACTACGATGCTGTTGTCACTTTACAAAAAACAAACCGACCTATATATAAAACTGCGTGAAACTACGCGATTTTATTTACAGGATGTTTCAAAATGTATAAACAAAATTAATTAAATATACTGATATGATGAAATGGAAAATGAATTTAGCTTTATTTTGCAATGTCGCATAGAGTACACTCTTTACTTTTTTTACAAAATTATATTTAAGGTTATAAGGTATTTGATATCACCCTGTAACCACTAGAAATACAATCCAAAGACAAGCATACTTTTAATAGGATAACATTTACAAAATATGGTTAAAATATACAGGATGTTTTCTTTCAAATTAAATCACTTGCCGCTTTCGTATTATGTTTTGTTTTCATTTCATAAATTGGCTGTTAGAAATGCTACCGTAATTCCAAAATTCAATTTAATTTAAGATTTAATTTTATCTTGAGGTTTCCTTTGTTTTATTATGAGGAAACATTAAGGTGAAATATATCTTGTTCTTGTTTGGCTTGAAATGTTAACGACTCATTATCCTCAGATTTACCTATACTTAATATAATAAAGATGAACGATTTGTTTATTTGCATTGAATAGGCTCCAAAACTAATTAACCAATTTGAAAAATTATTAAACTGTTTAGAAGCTACACTATTTATTTATAATTTTACTAGCTATAGCTACAAACTCTGAATTAAAAAAAAACCTTAATTAGTAGCCTGTTTTCTACATCTATGCCAAATTTCATCAAGATCCATGAAGCCGTTCTGAAGATACCTTTAAACAAACATCCATCAATCTTCCTATCTATCTGAACTTTCGCTTTTATAATATAAGTAAGATAATTTTAATAACACTAATGCGAGAATATTCCGTTATTATTAAACGTAAAAGTAAAATGCTTTATCTCACAGATTTCCCTAAACTCGAATTACGATATCTAAATTTGAATAAACACTTAAAATCCGTCGTCCATTTTAGGTTATATAAATCCCAACATTTAAGTCAATAAAGGAGGTCGTAGTCATTTTTCTTTTTAATAGCAGGATGTTAGCCTGTATTTTATCTAAACGGCCAGCTAACGTTTTCATGCAACTCTTATTTTGATATTCTGAACCTTTTTAAAAGGGGCTTAAAGGCAATGAAGTTTTATCATAGCGGAAGACTATCGGCCGAGTCCGGCAAAGCTTTTAGAATTTCCCGTTGTAACAGCTTTCAAAGTAATGTTATAGAGTTTTTAAGCTATCTCATCCTTTGTTATATTTCAGTTCATAATATTTCTTACTAGAAATAAAAGACAGACAATAATTAAATAATCTTACGAATATAATAAACTTGCTGTCGCTCGCGACTCCGTCCGCGTGAATATATAAAAAAAAATAATTAGTGTAGCCCACCCATCCATCGACATTACATCCATCTAAACATTCTCATTTATAAAATTAGTAAGTTAAATAATAAGCAGCTCTTCAAGGCATTAATTAGAAAAGAAAAGAATAAATAGTATCCTATGTCCGTTTCCTGGCGCTAAGCTACCTCCTCACCAATTTTCAGCCATATCGGTAAAGCCCTTCTTGAGTTATAAAAAGTGTAACTAAGACGACTTTCTTTTATATATATATAGAGATAGATGCGAATGTTTGTAAGGATGGATGTTTGAATGTATCTTCGGAACGGCTTAACGGAATTTGACAAAATTTGGCACACATATAGATAGTCTGGAAGAAGCCTGTATGGTCTACTTATTAGTTTTTTTATTCCGCATGGACGGAGTTACAGCCGACAGTTAGTTTATAAATAGTTAACACCTAAATATATTAGTCAAATAATTACTTAATTTCCCTTCCCATACTTTTTTGTACATAAAGGCTAGGCAGAAGACTAAAGTTTTTAGCACGTACACGTATCAGACAAAGCGCGGAATTACTTCCACTTGATGCCTGTCTTCTGTGTAGTCGTATTGCACCGGTCGAACCAGCCCTTATATCTAAATATTATTGCAAACTCTACCACTATTAAAACATAAACGTAGAGTAAGTTTACCGTAAATATATTATAAAATATTGTACTAAAATAAAGTTTCGTTACCTTAGAAAATATTTTTCAATAAAGAATGTATTCAACTAAAGAACTTCTCAACTTGAGACGTTGTAAATGAAATATAACAGTGTAATATTACTAATATTATAGATGCGAAAGTTTGGATTGATGTATGGATGCTTTATACCACGGTTATGGATGAAATTTGAAACATAGATAAATTACAATCTGCAATAGGGCATCAACTATTCAGTCGTATTCCGAACGAAGTTGTTGGCAACAAATAGTTAAATAAGACATTTTTTTTTTGTATTATCTCTACATGTTAGTATTTATCCACGGAAGAAAGGCGGTCACTCGTGTGTAGACTGAAGGGAGACCCAGTTGACATCCGTCCCCTAGGCCAAACGACACGATACCAATCTGTAATAAAAAATAATATAATTACGTATTATAAACAATTTACTAGAATTGCCTATTCGAAAAATAAGTCTTTTCTATTTAAACACATTAGCAGTCGCCGACGGATTCTTTCAGATGGATTTAATAAAACTTTATTTATAACCTATGTGTTCTGCCAGACTATGTTCTACATCTACGCCAAATTTCAGCGAGATCTGTTGAGCCGTTCAGGAGATACATTCTAACAAACATCCATCCATCCATCCATCCATCTAAACATTTATTTTCATCCTCTTTTTAAAAATAGGGACAACGATATTAAAGGCAACACTTTCGTTTTATAAAAGTTACATTATTTTTTGTAACAATTTTGGTCAATAAAAAGTCTCCATTACTTAGAGACTATTTAATTTAACGACCTCGTATTAATTGTTTATCTATAATTTAAATTAATAAAAATAAAATTATTATTTACCAATGTGCGACGGTTCTTCCAAACTACACTCAATGGGCCACCGGAATCGCCTTCACAAGTTCCCACACCGCGAACACCGTCAGTACAAAGATGGCTGCTATGCAGTGGCATGTTGAACCTCTGTTGACACTGCGCGTTTGTGAGCACCGATAATGTCACTTGGTACAGCGATGTCGTCGACGGAAAACTGTTTTGTGCTGAAATGATAGAAGTAAAAGGTACTTCTTTGAGTCTATCTAGATGTTCAGATAATAAACGACCAACTCAAGAAGAACAAATGTGGACGTCCAAATTATTGTGAGCGCCTGCTCAGATTTTCATGGCAATTATTTAATCATGATTCTCCGTATCGTTTTTACAAGGCTTTAACATTTTTTTACGAATTTTACGGTTAATTTTTTAAATTTTTAGAGATTTATTATTTTATTTTAATACAATATAGTACAAGTTATCACTTTTTACTTACAATCTCTAGTTTTGCCATATCCAGACGCAATACCGGATAGACCGGCAAAATTTTCTCGTGCTTCTGAAGTTGTTGGCAAAGCAATCGGTTGTATGTTTGCTGTAACCAATACATTATTTGATTTTATTAATAGCGTAAAAAAATCATTTATCATTTAACAACATTGTATTATTTAGTCACATTTCTAAGGGTCCGTTCTCACAAAGCAAGGTGGTGAACAAAACAGATTTCTTATCGCGAATAAAATTAATAATAATACGAGATTTAATGCTTAAGATAGAGTACAAAATGAAATTTCTCTTTGACGTATTTTTATGCTTGCTTTTAAAAAACACGTTGTCTTTAGCCCTTACATGTTTCTACACCTAAATGCCTACCCAAGTTAGGGCTGATACCATAGTCCACAACGCTGGTTCAGTACGGTTTTAAAGACGTGCAAAACAACTTACCATTTAAATTCACAGCTGTAATTTTAACCATAGCAATATCATTAGTTATATCGTTAAAATTCCATTGTGGATGTACGACAACATCACTACTGTCTATTCTGGTACCACCGGAGAATATTCTCAAAGAGCCAAGAACGATCGTAAATCTTCTCGCTTGCATTTGGCCATCTCTCCAGCAATGCGCGGCTGTGAGGACTCTGGTTGTAGACACTAACGATCCACCACAAATAGATTGTGCACCGGTAGTCTGAGTGGCTACAATACCAGCCTGGAAAATATTTTAAATTAAACTATAATGAACAATAAAAAAACACAATTTTATGCGTGTCACCTAGAATGGTAGTTGTAGCATTCGTTGCGTTATATTTGGCTCGTTCATGTACCGAGACATGTTGCGTTGTTACACTACAGTAGTCAAAGATTATGGAGTCGGTAAGGTTCCGTTTTATTCTTATAAAGGGAACCGTAAGCCTTGAAAAGTAAAATTAAACCTTGTTCCGATCACATAAAGCTTCATTTCATAAAAATTCGTCTTATTACTAGTTTTTCACGGCACTCAGTCCACGTAGAATTAAAAAAAACGTAGTAAGTAACCTATGTGTTCTTCCAGGCTATGTTTTACATCTATGCTAAATTTCATCGATATTCGTTGAACCGTTCTGGAGATACCTTCTAACAAATATTCATCTACTACTTCGCATTTATAATGTTAGTAAGATAATTAAGATTGTTATTAAATGATTTATTTCTGTTAAATAGTGTTAGGAAGAAAATCCGACACTGTGCCGGTGTACTGGCACAACACTAGCCTTACTAAAATGTCGACGTTTGTTTTGTGTCCCAACACTAATCATTCTGACACTTAACTTGTAACGAAAGCGCGTCATTTGCGCCAAATAATTGATGTAAAAAATGTCTAAAAGTAGTGTTCGTTTAGTTTTTATCATTTAATTCGATGAGCCATCTTAAATTGAGGTCACTGACCTGATAAGGGAAAGAGTTGAGCGTTGTAACTTGAGATCCTCCGACGATACGAGACATCCCTTCAGCTATTTTTATCACCCTCGCCCTCGGTATGCCCACCAATTTATGATAACCATACGAGTTACATTGTACTATACTAAAACATAAGAATAACGAAAACAACTTAAGGGAATACATTTTGCAATACAACTCAGTGGCAAAGTACTTCGATGTTATTAATATACTATCATTTTATCAGTTATTTGATTATCTTTAATTGATAAATATGTTTATATAGAAAGAAGATAATTAGTTAGTAATAACAATACACAACTCTCGAAATTTTTATTATTACCCAACTGACTAACATTCACGCGTATATACAAGGTGTCCTAAAAGGTTACGTACATAGGAAGGGGGATGATAGGGGTGGTCACAAGGGTCACCAGAAAAATAAAATAAAAATTTCCCTCAGGGTATTAAAAAAAATAAATGGCATTTTTTAAAAACTTTAAAATTTTACACCTAGAGCACAAATAACAGCCGATTTTGACGAGTGATGTCGAGTGTCGTTTCGTTCGGCTTCTTCGTCGGAGTGTCAGGTAGACGTGAGAGTTGTAATTCTGAAAAAAAAATTAAAGTACACATTTTGTATTTGATAAACTGATAAAAAATGGCTAAAAACTCACGAATCCGACCGACTAGTTTTAAGCCCATCGGGGGCCCTTCATCATGGTGAGTGGGACTGGTATTATTCCGCGGACGCGGCTCGCCGCTCACTCACTGTTTGCAGATGGGCTCGAAACTAGTCGGTGCCGCCACCGGACGATAAACGTGAGTGTTTAGCCGTTTTTATATCAGTTTGTATTTGATGTTTTAGAATATAACCTTAAGAAGGAAAATGTATGTAACAAAGTTTTTTATTTTGTTTTTTTTTTGTGTTGTTTAGTTTTTTGTGTGTGTGTTTTTTGTGTTTTTAATTTTAAAATCTTGCAAATCAACATACAACAAAACGGAAGTCTCCAATCTATCCGCGATAACTCCGAACGCCGAAATATTACTCCCAAAAAAAAAGAAAAGCCATCAAATTGTTACATCTTGTAAATTATTTACAAAGCACAAATATTATACATCCTTGATTTGGACACTACTCCAATATTTATTGGGGAAAAACAATGAATCATTTTTTATCACTTTGTGGAACATATTTAGTAGTAAAAGTTTTTTTATTTAATTAAGCTGATAGCATCTTTTTAATTTTATCTTTTAATACTTATTCGTATAAAGAATATCCGGAATTATTAAATAAACTAATAAGATTAGAAGTACTAATATCTGATATTTTGTCGGAAATTGATAAACATCCATCTTATAAATACTATCATTTGCTGATTAAATGCAATATCGTGATTGAATATCAACAGTCATTGTAAATTAGGAAACTCGGCTTGACTACGATTTTCGTCTACATCTATAGAATACATTAAATTGAAGTGTCTGTGTGTTACAAAGAAAACAAATCTGGCTCTATACTCTTACTGTACTTTGTCTGCTTGTCTGTAACTTTTTTCTGGGTAATATTTGAAAACCCATAGGCTGATATGGATGAGTAACTGATGCATACGACCGTGTTATGTCAATCACCCTAAGCTTAGGGTAGGCTCCGAGCCCCTCAGTGGGGACATATAGTGAGCTGATGATGATGATGATGACTACCATGTTATAGATTAGTTTTGTCCCGTGCTGACAAAGTTGCAGATAACCATTAGTAATTAAAATGATAATGTGGTAAAAGTGATAGAATATAATATCTTACTAAAATTATAAGCGAATGTTTAAATGGATGGATGTTTGTTTGAAGGTCTCCAGAAACGCTGAACGATTCTCGAAAAATTTGGCATACATATAAAACACAACAGAAGAACACATAGGCTACTTTTTATTCCGCGCAGTTTCACTGGCGACAGCTTATAATATTATAAATGCGAATGTTTGGATCGATAAAAGGATAGATGGATGTTTGTTTGAAGTAACCTCCAGAATGGCTGAACGGATCTCGATAAAATTAGGCATGGATGTAGAACATAGTTTGGAAGAACACATAGGCTGCTTATAAAATAAATATAAAATAGCCTTTATTGCTTTACAGTTTATGATAATTTTACATGTCTATTCACTAAAAAAACTAGATTAATTTAATCAATAGGCTACTTATTATCTTTTAATTCCGCGCGGAGTCGCAGGCGATTACTAGTTGATAAATGTTCAATTTCAAACTTCAAGGTACACGTTAATAAGAATCAAGGTAAAAACTCAAGAATCCTGGTTCCCTTGTATAAGAGCAAAAGGCTCTTATCAGATTAAGTATTAAAGGAAGGCGCATTTGTATTTGGGCTGCCTCTCATCAATCCTGCTGCTCCGCGCTGTAGCAAAGTAATCTCCTCATTTGCTCAGATAACGGAATCAGGATAAAATCGTAAGACGGGGGATAAATGTATAGCCCGCATACTAATGCGCTTTCTAACATAAGTCATTCTTGAAGATACTTAACGAAGAAATATACTCGTTGAACTTAACATGTGTTGCAGTGTAAAGTCTAATGTCTAACAGTGGGTTTCTGAGACTAAAATCCCCGTTTAAATCATATTGTTTCTCTGTTTTGTCGAAGGTACAAATGACTCTGTTCACGCGGAAATAAAAAAAAGATAATTAGTAGACTTTGTGTTGTTCCAAAATATACATTTGACATTTATCAGTCTTATCGCCGGCTTTCTGAGACCAAAAACTCCGTTTAAAAAATAATGTTATCTCTTTTTCGTTGAAGATATGTTTTATATAGAGGTTTTGGTCTCGGAAACCTACAGTTAAAATATTAAAATATTTTATAACATTAAAGAGTTTTAATATCAAAATATCTTTAATGTATTTCGTCAATTTTCTAGTTTCTCATGTCATTGTTATGCATGACATATCACAAAGTTTAAATTAAAATGTATACTAAATATATGAAATGTTCAAACTTCTTAGACACGTAAACTTTATTTATTATAAAGTTATATTTACTAAGTTAGATATAAGTTTTTACATTTAAAAGGTTTCGTTTTTAATTTGGTGCAAAATTAACTATAAAATATATAAATTAAGTTATATTATTAACTCGCGTCTTAAACACATAAAATACTTATAGAAATTACAAGATTTTTCCTTGACCAGTGGCGCCATCTAAATGTCAAATAGATGAATTTTAATAAAAACGCCATCTATTGCAAAAAATAATAAATTAATTACAAATAAATTAATTGCAGTTCTAAACTCGGAGATTTGTTAAGAGAATTGGTCTCTGTAGATTATTGCAAAGTAAGTTGTGCGAGAAATTAAGCCGTCACTACCATGAAGTCTCTTTACTGATGGGAATTGTTTTGAAAATGATGTCCATTAAACGTAAATAAAGGGAAGTAATAAATACAGTAAAAACACAGCCAATAGGAGGAAGAATGAAAAAATTAAACACAACACTTCAGTTCACAAAACACTTCAGTTTTTAACATCAGAAAAACCTTTGGCTACAACAAGATTGTGATCTTTTATATAAAGGATTAAAAATTGTTATTTTAATTCTTGATAAATAAATAAAGATAAATTTTACCACAGATAAGTAATATTTTACTGAACTTTTTTAAATGATTTAATATACATTAAAAAGTAAAATTAATTAATATTTCATACAATAATTAAAACCTTAATAATTTCAATAGGAAAACGCAATAAATTAGTTAGGTGAACTTTTAATGGGACATAAATTATACGAATGTTCCTTAATTTGGTGCGAAATGTAACAGCAGTGTAATTATGCGAAATGCTTTCTTTATACATTATAATATGATTTATTCATTTTGCTATAAACATAATTAACAAAGAAACAACTTTGGAAAAAATTAAAAACAGTTCTTTGTTAAAAATTCAATACTTTAATGGCAGAATAAAAAATACTCACCGTTTAAGTTACAATGAGACGATACATCTTAGTAATATTATAAATGCGAATGTATGGATGGATGGATGGATGTTTGAAAGTATCTCAGGAACGGCTCAACGGATCCCGATGAAATTTGGTAAAGATGTAAAACATATTCTGGAAGAACACAGAGGCCACTAGTTTTTTTTAAATTCCATGTGGACGGCGTTGCGTTGTACAGCCAGTAAAAAAATAATTATTTAAATTGTAGGAAAAATTAATGTATTACTACAGTAAATAGTACAATTGCACAAAAAACAACACAAAATAATAGAGTAACCATGTAAAGCAGTCTTTCCCAAAGTGGGCGATAACGGCCCCTTGTGGGCGCTGCAGGTCTCAAGTTGCGGGTTATAGTAAAAGTTACGTTTAGAATTCTCCGTTAATATTTATTTTATTTTATTTGAAGTTATAGTGTAGTTTTTAAATATGTGAAAATATGGAGGCGCTAAAAAAATATTTATGCTCAAAATGGGCAGTAGACAAAATAAGTTTGGGAACCACTGATGTAATAGAAGAATCCATATAAAATCGACATTTGGCTTGTCTGAAAGCAGGTAAAAGGCGTGTTTTTCCGCCGCGGTGATTTGTCAATGTAACAAAATTGAGGTGTAATGATTGTCTGTTGGATACGACTGCGGTTTTTATCGTCGTTTAGTAGACGTCTTTACGATGTTTACGAAAAGTTGCCTTTAAAGTTGGACTTACATTGGCGAACAACAGGAAAAATATTTTCATCGCATCACTTCCCAAAGAGTATGAGAGGGATGACACTATGTTTTTCGTAGTTTTCATCAGTGTAACCCATGGTTTATACTAATATTGAGCATGCTTTAGTTTCTTGAGTATTATATTTATTGCCAAGCAAAATAAATTGTTTCCCAAACATAGTCAGAGAGATACTGTGTGAAATTAGTTGCATATACACTACTAACCGCTGGTTTCTGACATCAAAATCTCTGTATAAAACATATAGTCATCCCCGTCATCTTTATCAAAACAGAGATGACAATATGTTAAAGATTTTGGTCTCAGAAACTCACGGTTAGTGTTTAAAAGTAATACGCTTTTGAACTATAGTTAATGAGCTGATATAAAAACGGCTAAACACTCACGTATATTTCTCCAGTGATGAAGGGCCCCGGATGGGCTCAAAACTAGTCGATGCCGCCACCGGACGAATATACGTGAG